CATACATGCTTATACTTATACATGTACAAAATTATTATACTTACAAGCTTATACTTACATGCTTATTATACTTGCATACAAGCTTATACTTACATGCCTATTATACTTTCATACATGCTTATTATTCTTACATACATGCCTATTATACTTTCATACATGCTTATACTTATACATGTACACAATTATTATACTTACAAGCTTATACTTACATGCTTATTATACTTGCATACAAGCTTATACTTACATACATGCCTGTTATACTTACATACATGCTTAATTGACTAATGTAAACTGCTTTGCAATGTCAACTTCTTAGGGATATCATGGGTGTTGGTAACAAATTTCCTAGCAATGACAATTATGCGGTTTACAATATCTTTGTCTTATTCTCACTGGTAACTCTTGGTTTGTATTCAAATTTTAGATTTTGCAGTACACTGCCAGGCAAGAAGAACAAAAATGAAGATCTCTTATCCCAACCTGCATTCACTTTGACACTTTTATTGATTGGAAACTTTGGATTACTCATAGTGGATCGTATCCTTTAATTGTGAATTATTCTACTTATCTGTTTTATATAGTATGATGTTAATATGAGGTCATCACATCATATGTACAAACACTGAAGTACAGTGTGTGTATCGCCATGTGTGTTTTAAATCTTTGTGTAAACAATGCATTTTACTTGCATTGTATATATGTCACTATAGGTCTCATATTAAACAGGACTTGGTGCAATGACCCATCTTTTGGAGATGAAACGCACTTTTAATTTCATGAAATTTTGCTCAATAACTTGCCTGTGTGAGAAAAATCTGAACTAATTTTTGGATTTTTTGTATATATTTTGGCAGGAACAAGATAAATGCTTAATGCTAAGTGACACTTGCAAATTGATTTGTTCTGCCCTTGAGTTTTTTTCATTTTGTCATTTATTTGACAAATGCTTTTACTCGGCCAACATGATTTTTAAACTGTTTGCATTTTTACCAGTTAGATTTACATTCATTCAAAATATGAAATAAAAAATTATTTTATGCTCAATGTTGCCTAGTGTTCAGTTTATATGCTACTACTACTACTACTATTACTAAGAATGGAAATCTAATTAACACAGTTAACCTGTGTGTTTATAATGTCCCATCTGAAGTTGAAATAAAATATCCATATGATTAGGTTAATAAGTAAAAAAGTATCACATACAAGTATACCAATTTTCCTGACCTTAATCTTCAGACATTCATTTTCAATATAATGGTTTTCTATTTGGTATTATGATACTTTCCATTACAAGAATTACACAGGTTTGTCTCTAGTTTAATTATAACATCTGAATGATATCAACAGGTATGTGACTTTTCAGGTGCCTAATGTGCCATCATTTTCACTTTAATGCAGTGTGTGTCAAAACATTATTCTCATAAACCAGGCTGGTACATGTATAAAAAAGGACATCTTGTAATGCTTATGATTGAACTTTGACCTGATGGTCACATGATTTGATATAATGTTTTTGATATAAGGTTTTGTTTCTCGTCAAAAGGGAAGTTGAAAAATGATGTCTCAAGGTTTAATTTTTGTTTCGTTTTAAGATTATTTAACTGCCACAACAACATGATATATATTCAATGTTTACTATATTAAATAAATGTTTTTGAATTCATGTACTGGTATTATAGGTTGAAAAGGATTGACAAAACATTCTCTAAAAATAAAAAATAAACATTCCCTATTCTACCATATACCATACCATATACCATATGGTACTGGTACACAAAAATTCAAAAAGAAAAAATGTGTGAGACACAGGTTTCATAGTGATGCTGGCAAAAACCAAAATCTCTTTTTTTCTGTCATTACCCATGTCAAGTGCATGTATATAGCCCACTTCACACAAATACAATCTATGGTACCTGTAATATAGGCAATGATGACAGTAACTGAAAAATAAATTATGAATACTAGTGAACAGAAAAATTAATAATGTTAACAGAAAAGAAATTAAAATTTATATCAGTAATTGTTTTGTTCTTCTAGGGTAGAAATTTGGATGGTGCTTTATGGTTTGCTATTTTACTGAATTTTAAACATATTTATCTATACATTGCACCAGCTTATTTTATATATCTGCTACGATGTTATTGTTTTACACAGGCTAATAGAGGTATGTGTATACCAGTAATTTATATTTACCGGTACCTCTTTATATTATGGATTAGTGGAATACTCGTCCAGAAAAATAAATGATTCGTTTCTGGTCAACTCGCATGTCAGTTTAAAAGAGGTCACTCAAAATATTGCTTTTTTTTGTTTCTTCCAAGATAATGTGAAAAAAAAAGAAAACATAAAACAAAAGCAAGAAAAAATGTCTTTTTACTATTTTCTTTTTGCCTGTATTAGAGCATGTCAGGGCTTTTCTTTCAAAAATGTGTGCATCTATTTTTCAAGGTTTAAAAAAAGGATGCAATCCGAATTGTGATAACCAATTTTAAAATACAAATAAAACAAATACATGTGAGAATCGATGTGGAAAAACAATTTACTTTTGTTTAATTCCTACTAGTAATCCACTGAAATTACTTTAAACTGTATTGCGATACTGAAATTACAATTATATGTGATTGCATCAACAGATGGCAGTGTTAGGTGGAGTAGCCTTAGTCTAGGAAGACTTGTGATGTTAGGTTCTATTGTAATCGCAGTCTTTGCTGTGTCCTTTGGACCATTCATATACATGGTTAGTAAATACAGCTTACTATAGTGAGTACATTCTTCAAAATAATCTATTGTGCTTGGAGAGTGGCACACTTACATATGCTTGTCTAGGTCTGTCACCTCTACAATTAGTACGTATAGGCATGTACTAGTCAATAAACGCTGTCACAGTCGGCTGTTGACCATAAATTTGATTAGTTGGAAATGATGTCATACATGTATGTGCAGTGTAGCATTTAAATTGGCAAATTTAAATCAGAATACATATTATTATTTTTTGGTTCTGCTAAAGCCAGCCTATGGAACACCATATTTGAATAAATTTGCTTTGACTGACTAATGTAGTTATTATGCGTCTGTGTGTCTGTGCGTGCGTGCGTGCGTCCTGACCTATACCTTTGACATTCCTGGACTGATTCCTGGCCATACTTTAACTGATTATGTTCAAATTTTATATATTCATTATAGATCATGTCATAGACATGCAGATATATTGGTTTGACTATCTGTTTTAAAATGGCCAAGTGGCGGTCATTTTTGTGCTAAAAAATCATCAAAAATAAAGCATTTTTGGAATCTGAGAACCAAATCTTGTTTTATGGATGGATTTTGTTCAAACTTAGTACATACAATAAGACATTATAGGTCCCTGATGCACGTCACTTTTATTTTTCAAATCTGATTCAAAATGGCTGACTGGTGGCCATTTTCTTTTAATGAATGTGGTTCTAGAGCCATATCTCTGACATAATTTGACTGATAATGTTAAATTTTTTTATATTTTCATTCTACATCAATCATGTTATAGATATACAGATGTATTCAAAATGAATGACCATTGGCCATTTTGTTTTAATTAATGCATGTCCACTGCAATATCTCTCAATATGGACAAGTACTCATTTGACGTTCAGATACAAGATAACTGAATATCAATCATTTTAGCTTCAGCTTCTGGATCCATATGTCTGATATGATTATGTTTGAACTATATTACTATAAACAAAATTATATATCTTAAGTTTGATAACTAACAGGGACTGTGCCATGCATGGCTTGTTTTATATTATAATTTATATCTACTGTAAAAGGATTAATTATTCACTGGGTTTTAATTTTGCTTATTTCTCTGACTGGAAAATGCGCTAAATTAAAACCCAGTGAATATGTAAAATTTAGCATAGAACACATTATCTAAATGGTAAAACCGTGAATTTAAAACCCACTGAATATGCCTGAAATGGTAAATCAGCGAAATTTAAACCCCGTGAAAATTAGTCATTTTACAGTACTTAAATTGAAGTAATCTGTGCCTTATAACATTGTTTTTTTTACTCAGGGACAACTAGAACAGATTTTATCAAGGTTATTTCCATTCAAACGAGGTCTGTGCCATGCTTACTGGGCTCCTAATTTCTGGGCTCTGTACAATGTAGTTGACAAGGCTCTCTCCACAGCTGGTGAGTACAATGTATCAATGCAATTCACTCCCTTTATTAACCTCTGCATTGTAAATGGGTGTATGCAACACAGTTCACAGCAGGGATATTGTTTGATCTGTGCTCAGTCAATAAAAATATTGTTATTTTATAGTTTTACTATATTGTAAATGACTTAACTTTTACCCATCTACATGTATTTTTAGTCCCCGTTCAGACGTAGTCCGAAAACGGGGACTTATGTTTTGCCCTGTGTGCGTCCATGCGTCCGTGTGTCCGTGCATCCGTGATTACCTGTATCTCGAACATGCATGGACCGATTAAGTTCAAACTTCACTCATACATCACACATTATATGGGACATATGCACATGTATTTTTTTCATGATCCGATTAACGATAGCCGAATAGCGGCCATTTTAAGGCCGAAAATGCATCAAAATTGCACATTTTCACCTTTCCGGACCCGGGTCTCAGTTATGCATGGACGGATTTTTTTCAAATTTGGTACATACATTAAACATAATAGGACCTTGATGCACGTAATTTTTTTTTTGGATTGGGTTTGAAATGGCCGACTGGCAGTCATTTTGTTTTAAAAAATTCAGTTCTGGATCCGTATCTGAGACATGCCTGGATTGATCGAGTTCAAACTTCATACACACAAGGTACATCATGTCACAAATATGTATGTGCATTTGTTTCATGATCCGCTTAACAATAGCTGAATGATGGCCATTTTAAAACCAAAAATGCATCAAAATCACGTATTTTCACAATTCCGGAACCGGATCTCAGTCATGCATGGATGGATTTTGTTCAGATTTAGTACAATGTGTTGTACATATGCAGGTGCATTTCGGATCAGACCACTGAAAGTGGTCTGAGATTTCAGTCATGATCTGCTTTGAATGTATATGTCACTCAAATATGAACGTAACGGGGACGTCTCATTGACAATGACTCGTTATATTTACATCACAGTGTCTTTGTCATACTTTGAATTTGTGTTGAAGTATTATTAAAATAGTATTATTAAAATCTGTATTTAGATTAGTTCATTCCAAGTCCTCTCTATTTTAGTACATTTTTTGCTAAAAATGCTATTTCCTCCTAGAAAACTATTATTTGAACATGTTTAAAATCATTGGATATTAGGGGTGGGATATCAAAACTATCCAATAGGCTGTATCACAGGGAACAGACATGATACATGGGATAAAATCTGAATATGTTCAGTGCTGGCCTTTAGTTTCAATTCAACAGTGAGGTATGTCTTTTCTAAAAAACATGAAATCAACCATGTATTGTATTGTCAATCTTCTAAACGTCTTTGCTCACAGCACTCGATCCAGCTGGTATTGATTCATGAAAAATAGATGAGCATTCATATGCTCAAATAAACTCACCCATGACCTGGGTGATTTGTTGAATATTATGCAATTTCAGGACATAACATCATTCTATATATATACTGTGTTATGTCTGTTTCTTGCAGGGTCTCGGTTTGGTGTAATCTCTGTTAACGCTAGCACAGCGTCAATGACTGGTGGTTTAGTTCAGGAATTTGACCACACTGTATTACCATCTATACCTCCTGTTATTACATTGATATGTACAGTACTCTCAATCATGGTAAGTTTATTGTCATCTAATAATTTCAGTTTGACCTTCAACCTGTGTATTACTGTATACATTTTGACTTTATGATAAATTGGTGTAAAAACAGAAGAAGCTGATCATAATGAAATGTTACAATTGGTAACAATTTAAATCGAAAATTCAGAGAATTTTTTAACTGAATTTTTGCCTGTTTTGATTTTTTTTCTTGTTCATGTTCGGATTCGTTTGTGATAGACTAACTAACTAAGTTGTTGACCAGACAGAAAAGATAGACGAATATTACTTGCTATACACTACTATGCATGCCCTTACATTATATAAATGAAATGTTCTATCATTTCAAATTACCACTCTGCCAGACACATTATTTTTCATTTATTTGTTTCTAGCCTGCTGTTTACAATATATGGAGATATCCAAGAGGCCCTAAAAGTTTTCTTCGTTGTTTAACACTTTGTGCATATGGTTCATTTATATTTGGCTGGCATGTACATGAGAAGGCTGTCTTACTTGTTATAATACCTCTATGGTGAGTGTCAACAATCTGATAAGAAGTACTTGCAGCAGTTTTTCCTGCCAAAATATATCTTCTTTAAGAGCTTATCATATGAGTGATTGTCTGGTGTCTGTTGGTGTTCGTCACCCGTGTCAACTTTTTACTTTTCCAACTTCTTCTTGGAAACTAAAAGCCTGATTGCTTTGATACTTGGTGTATATGTACCTTGGGTAGACCTCACTCAGATATTTTCATTTCATGATGATATTTTTAATTCTCTGATTTTGATGAATATTTTTAGTAAAAAGTGAAACTTTTGACTTCTTGTTGAAAACCGCAAGTCTCAGAAAACGTATGTTGTGTAACCCTTTCCCCTTTTATCTTTTGATTGTCAAAATCACCTTATTCAAAATAACCTGCATACTTTGTTTTTCATATTTTTTAAAAAAACTTTGACATTTCGCCAATGAAAAATTATGTCAGTTTAATCCAAAAGTGATAATGAAATTATAGAAAATGAAATTATAAAAAATGAAATTACAGAAAATGCACAAAAGGTTCTGGTTACC